GCTTGGTGAACTCTCAAGATGCTTTTTGGATCTATACAATTTTTTGCATTTTAACACTAGAAAATTTGTTTCACACATATACTTTGATAAGTGAGGCACTTAAATAACAGAAAACTTTTATGATGTTAAGCTTTCTATGTGTGCCTGATGTTTGGAAATAGATCAGCTGAAACAGTTGTTATGAAGGTTCTACTCTAAAGGCATATACATATATCTATATCCCTGGCGGGTGTGGCTAAGTGGTACTATAGCCTTAGTTGTGCACCAAACAGTCATGAGTTCGATCTCAGCCCTGTGAGTGAGATAAGCAGTCTATGTGTCTTTCTCACATCAATGTCTGTCTCTCTCTTTCTCTCTCTCTCCTCCCTCCCTCTCCCCTACCTCATGCCCCCCTGCTCTGCCCCCTCCTTCCCTTCCAGGCTCTCTAAAAATCAATAGTAAAAAATAAATTTTATATATGGAGAGAGAGAGATTATCTTCCCAGTGTATATATTCATTGCCATCAACACTTGTGTTGAAAAATTTTAGTTAGTAAAATTATTTTCTGAGAAATTAACTAATTTATTATAGCTAACCAAATGACAGTGGTAACTATCATTCATGACTTTTAAAAAAGTAACTTTTATTATGTGTACTTAATATAAAAGTCAACTCTTTAAAAAGTACATATGTCAATGTAGATTCATCCATTATAACAAATGTGCCATTTGGATGTGGGATGTTGGTAATGGGGGAGGTGTGCATGTATGGGGCAGAAACTATATGGGGAATCTCTGTTCCTTCCACTCAGTTTTTCTGTGAACCTAAAACTACTCTAAAAATAGTCCATTAAAATAAGCAATCAAACAAAAACATAGTGCCAGAGGATCAAAGATAGAAAGAAAAGGGAAATGTAAACAGTTTTGTAGGTTAGTGAGATTATTGGAATTTTTTTTCCTGAAAATTTTGTCTAATGTACTGTTTCTTTTCCTTGTTGTAATGAAAAGGAATACTTAAAAATATATATTATGTCATTTCTAAAACTAGTTTTGTTTTTTTCCTGTGGTTAAAAAAAACACACCCACACTATATGCTTCTTTTTATGTTTCTACCTATTTCCTAATTCTAACTATTTGAGTGTTTTAACTTGAATGCAAACAGTCTATAGCAGTAATTTTCAACTTTTATCATCTAATGGCACACATAAACTAATTACTAAAATTCTGTGCCAACCAAATTTTGTCAGATTGGCAGAAAATACAAATTTTTTGCCACTCTAACAAAAACATAGGTATAATTTTGATTCCTCTGCACCAGACAGCTATTGTTGTGCTGGCTGTAATATCTTTTTTTCTTTTTTTTAAATTTGTTTACTTGCCCTAATTGGTTTGGCTCAGTGGATAGAACATTGGCCTGCATACTCAAAGGTCCCATGTTCGATTCTAGTCAAGGGCATGTTCCTTGGTTGTGGGCGCAACCCCGGTGAGGGGTGTGCAGGAAGCAGCCTGTTGATGTTTCTTTCTCATCGACTTTTCTAGTTTTCTATCCCTCTCCCTTCCTCTCTGTAAAAAGTCAATTATATATATATATATATATATATATATATATATATATATATATATATATATATATATATTTTAATCAATAATATTATATATATTTATTAGGGGCCCAGTGCACAGATTTGTGCACCTTGAAAGGAACTGTGGGCCACGAGGTAGTGGTGGGCACAGGGATGGGTCTTGGCCCAACCATCGTTCCCCCAGGCCCTGTCTGCCGGCAGCTCTGCTCCCACCGCCTCTCCTCCCACGCATTGACAGCACCGGCCCCGCTTGCCCCTGCTTTCAGCATGGAGCTAGGTTATTTGATAAACTAAAGGAAAAGAGATCATTGTCTCTTATTAGTTAAGTACTGCATGTTTTCAAAATTCCTGTGGCACACCGGTTGAAAATTGCTATTCTATAGTATAAACATCAATGACAAACATTTTGACCTTGACCCCTGAGATTTTATTTTATCAATATTTACTATATTAGAAAACAAAACAAATATCTTAAGTATTTTTAACTTGATCAGATGGTAGGAAGCTGCACCAGGGGATCAGACACACAGGTGGAACTTGTGCTCTGAGTGGGCATCTGAAAATAAACTTGCCAAATTACAAAGGGTGGCTTAGCTTAGCCTATTTAGGGTTCTTCACTTGGAGGCCTTTCAGAAACAAAACAGTTCTTTATGTGAAATTCAGGGGGACCATTAGAGAATAACTGATTTTATGCCTTATATGCTCTTCTTGCAAACTGCACAGTTGTTAGGTGAAACTTGGGACTACTTATTGAATGTGTCCTGTGGTTTTCACACCCACACTATATGCTTCTTTTTATGTTTCTACCTATTTCCTAATTCTAATAGGTAGAAACATAAAAAGAAGGTGTAGTGGAATGATTGGCAAGGAAGTTACCAATGCCTTAGGCTTACCGTCAGTGCTCACTTGACTGCCTGGTTTTACTTTCCCCATCTAAAAGTATGGTGGTGTCTCTATCGTGTATTCTCACATGTTTTAAAATTGACATTATATTATGTCTAGTGGCCTGGTGCACAAAATTCATACATGAGGGGAGGTGTTCCTCAGCCCAGCCTGCACTCTCTCCAATCTTGGACCTCTTGGGATGTCCGACTGCCAG